CCTGAACGTCATCACCAACCACCAAATTGATATCTCGTGAACACCTCATCGCCGCGTGGCGTATTCAGTATAGCACTAGCTCATCAGCCTGGCTTCAGGAGGTGCTCTACATACCTAACAAGGGCGTCTCTTTCGAGCCAGCCTGTTTTCAGCCTCCTGAGCTGCGATTGGTCCTCATAATTTACCTCGCTAGTCCTGCTCAGCAAATAATGACGGAGGAATACGAAGGGGAAACCGTATTGATGATAAGATGAGCACGAATTGAAAGGCCTGCTAGCTCTGTCGGCTTTGATGCTCTTGGAGAGGTATTGGGACGAAGCTCGCATGGAATATCATGCCTCATGAACCCGTCCAGCCCCATGAAAGAAGCAGAGAGGAAAGAAGGTCCGGGGAGGGAAGATGGCATATAAGAAGAGCAATTTGAATGATTGCGCAAGCCCCTTTTTCAACCAGCTTCAGCAAGAGGCCTAGCCTGGATTCATTTTTCATGGGTGTGTAAATGAATACTTTGACCTTTTGTATCTGCTTGATCCGCGCCTTGGTCGAATAGATGGGTATAACGGTAAAAATAGCGGGCAACGAACATGGCTAGGTCTATCACAGCGGGGCCGAACATGCCACCGAGGCCCTCGTGACGGTGTCCTTCTAGTCTTCTGACAGATAATGGTGGAGACCGAAGGCGAAGCAAGGAAGTATCTCAAGAGCGCAAGGGGCTTGGAACTGGGCAACGACAGAGAGGGACGGGGGAGAAAATGACAGGGCGAGGGAGGGAACGTTGCTGTGGATAGAGGCTTGTGACCTGTCGAAGATGTCCAAATGTGTGCCCGTGACGTTGTTCAACTGAAGCAAGCAGAGATGAAGATCTAGGTGGGCAGTGCATGCGTTTCGACCCAAGAGCGGAATTGCTGTACAAAGCTAACCGACCGATGGAGTGGTCACGCAAGTGGACATCTCAATCCCCCAAGCGTCGTATCCGCGAGATGTCATCTACGTGCGCCTCTGCTGTTGTCATTCTCCACGTCCACGATTGAACACTTCTTCTTTCGCTTTCGTCTGATATAACACTGGCTTCCTCAAACACCTGCCAATCCGTCGTTCAGGCATCGTGTTTGCCAACGCAAGGCATCGAGATTCCGACGCCACAAAACGCGAGAAAACAGCAATAGCCGGGACATCAGTCACACAGGGGTTGGCATGGGCCGGCCCGTCGGCGGCTTGTGGAGTTTTGATGATCTGCGGCAAGGGAGCAAAAGCATGCAGGCAATCAGGTTTGGATCATTGAAGCTCCAAATGTGGCATTGATGGTGACAGAGGTGGAGATGGGGCATTTCTCGTTGTGCGTCAATCCCGAGGGACAGGAGGTGATCAATCTTCGTCCTGGGTCACACACCAGTGAATGATCATCTCCGCAAGAAAGTGGAGGGATGCTGGAGCCACCCAACGTTTCTCCAAGATCTAGACAGGACTCGGTGGTAGTAGGGCGCAAATCTAGGCAAGCTGCGGGGGTTAGAGTTGGGGAGAGGACGAACGATGGTGCAGTCTAGTGAAGTCATACTATCGCCGTATTGTTTTCACCAATTAAATCTGCGATTCTTGAGTGGGCACCACGTTTGTGGCAATAACTGTGATCGGGCCTCGAAAATGCGAAAATCCAATGATTACAGCTCTTCATGGTTGAATCACCCGTCTTATCAATCAGATGGGTCATCACGCCTGTAGCCTAACTTCAAAACCATTTCATTGATTTTAATATCATTTGACAAATTGCGACCGTTGTAGAGCCCTCCTCTGTTGCTGCGTGAGGTGCTTCTCCTCAATCAACTGGCTCGTTGCGCCAGCGGCACCCGACACAGACGAACAGGCGTCTTGCCCCCCGAGCCAAAGGAATAGTGGCCGAGTAGTCAAAGCAGAGAAAATTGAGGAGTTCGCCAGAAGCCTTCTGGCAAACTAGCAGGCCTTCTCTCCGTCGGTCTGACACGCTTCATCAGCTTTGATGGCAATTCTCACCCAAGTCTCTTGCGCATCATGGAAGCTGAGAACGAGACAAGCGAATACAGCCGTCCGATGTGCGCCGCGTTTGTATCCTTGTTCCTTAGTGTCTCCTGTTCGTGATCATTGAGAATGCCGACCAATTCTCAATCCAAATCGTCGAGATTGGAGGTGCCAAAGATTCGCTGCACCACCCACCTTGTTGATGTAGCTCTCGCTACCCCGACGGCTGTACAGAGTTCATGTCGAATTATAAGTGATCTGACACAGTGCAGTGACACGGCCAGTTTCATGGGTATCGAAACATGTACGAGCAGTAGCACCCGCTTTCATGGACACATTCGGCGACTATCAGAGTCATGTTACTCCTAGACGGGCTTGAAAGCTCCTCGTGCGGTCCGTAAAAAGCTCAGTCAGTTGGTGAAAGTGAAATGCAACGGGCCTACCACGTGCCTGAATACTTTGATTATCTTCTCAAGCGCATTTGCAGACGTTTGCGGGAACAGCAAGCGGCCATTGATCATACCTTCCAGAGTGCCGCTAGCATGCACGAATGCATGAAGAAGCCGATGGTGCCTCCCTCATCGCGGGAAGTCAAGATGAGTTCCTTCCCGGCTATACTCGGGTCCCGGGCGAAAATTTGTGTGTCGCCTATCAGGAATCTCGCATGAGGAATGGAGTACTTCTACGGCGGATAAATACGAGGCAGGCCGAAGCACCAAGGTGGTCTTGACGACGCGATTGTAAGAATGTTGTGGCAGGGGCGGCTAACAGGAATTTTGGCCCTGACCAGGAGGTTTCCTTTGCGGTTAAATGGCTCTGGTGGAATTTCCACCGTGGCATCACAACGCGTGACTGAAATTCCTACATCCGCAGGAGTAGATCAACACCCAACTCCTTGAGAACGGTATCCCGGTCGCTGGACTATTTCTGGTTAAGTCGCCGTTTTCTAGTCGTGCTCTTCAACTCTCTGGCCAAGGAACGACCCAGGCTTATCCCTCAGCGGGACCCTGCTTTTGAGCTGGCGATGGGGCGCCGGAGACGGCCTTGAATATGTCCAAGCGACAAAGGCTGGAAGACAGGCGCTCGTGAGCTACGATTGGGGGTTCTAGTGGATGGTCCTTGAGTGGAACCTTTCTCATCTCTACAATTCTGTATCGTGGTTATCCGTAAGCGACGATGAGATTAGCACGTCAGTTGTGTTGGGCCTCATCCAGGTACATTGTCTGTGAAGGCGTCGCCCTTAGTTGCCCCAGAAAAACGGCCGCCATCATCAACGTGCTGAGTCGAAAATGCTTCGGCGTGGGCTTGTGTCACCATGGGGGGAAGGGGGGAGTCAGACGGAATCGCCAGCGCGTAACAAAGTCGACATTAGAAGCCACAGGCTGATGCTGACGGTTGCGACATACCCTCAGTCAGTAGACAGACGGTGGATGGTTGGGAGCTTGCTCAAGGACTTCACATGGTTGTCGTCTCGGGCTATATTCTCTCGTTTGCCGTCACCGATGTCGCTATTTGAAGATGATTCCACGTGGATATAAAGTCTTTGCCGTATTTCAGGTTGATATTATGCTCCAAGCTATGGCTCTGGTAGACAAAAGCGGCAAAATTAGTTGTTTAATGATGAAGGGGGAAGGGGCAACAACGTGAACAGTTCTTCGAAGAAGACAAATCGTGGTCTACCTGATTCGATAGCTAGTTGGATATTCTAAGCCACGCCTCAACGCAAAAGAAGGCGGGGCAGGGGGGGGGGGGGGGGGGGGGGTGGTCATGTGCACCGTCGACGAGTTTAGACCTGCATCGGCTATACGAGACCAAGCAAGCTCGTTAAAGCCCAGAAAGCGGAGATAATGACTGGTTATGCACTTTCGGATGCATCACTCCGGCTGGACGCACCCTTCTCATGCACCTTTGAAAATGGAGCGTGTCTGGTCGATAGAGTGAAATGACCAACTCCGCGTACCTAGCTGATGCTGGAAAACACGCCTCCAATATCTACCGTTGTGGTTCTTCGGACGCACCTTCGGATGCGCCAAGATCGCTGCGTCTGAAGATCCCAAGCCAAAGCGGCATCGACCCAACACTGTTTTGCTTGGGCATGACAACTTCAGATTGAGCCTCTGCCTGTTGATTCCCGTGAAGGCGACTCATCATTCGGGAGTTTAGCGAACTGGCGTAACAGTGCTGAAGGGCTGGGAACTCTGCTGTTTGGTGCAATCGTCACATTGGCACGTGCAAGGCTTTTACATCATCTTCTGAGGTCGAGAAACACCCAGCCAAAAAGTAATCGACCTTGGTACGTTCTCTTTATTGGGGCCGCAAAGCTTGCAGGTCGAAAACAAAATCGGTTTTCCAAAAGTTCGACCTGCACCGCCAAAGGGTTCAGTGGAGCTACCCCGCACTCGGAGCGCAGTTCGCAGTACGTACCACAGCATTGTCCCTGCCTTTGAATAGTGAGTCCACTCTCAACCCGTCACACTCTTTCCTGGTGGGATTCTCAAGAAAGAAGTCTCATGATAAAGCTGCAGTAATAACTGGTCTTTTCAGTTGGTAAATGAAGGAATGGGCTTTTTGTCCCTTCCTTTTTTTGATTGAAAGCGCGGCAAAGACGTCATTGTCGCGCTGCGGGTTGGGCCTTTCACGTTCTTTTGATTCGTTTGACTTGGGGAACCCCTTCCACGTTCTCAGCTCTTTCTACCGGCCGCAGGTGCCCTTTCCCTTTTTCCCTTTTTGGTCACTTTTCAGCTTTGGTAGCGACGCCCTCCAAGGTTGATCCCACTTTGATGGCCCACGCCTTCCGTGACACAAACCATCGCCATCTGAGGCCGTAGTTCGACCGCCGACCGAGGCTGCCCAACAAACCCCACCTTCCCTCGCCCACGCTGCTTGACTCTCCTCCCAAGTCACGAACCACCTCCACCACCACCATCCATGCCCGATCCCTGCGAGAACACGCGACTCGGATCCGAGAACGTCTGCAAGATCCCGTCTCGTTGAGTATCCCACATTTGATGGATCGTCTTTCGGCTTCGGTCCGTGCCAGCTTGGAGTCATTCCGCTTGGGCAGACACGAAGCTTGGGAGAGCCTCGCCGAGACCATCCAGCCAACTCCTTCCAACGGATACGCGTCGCTGCATTCCGTCACGTACGAATACTTCTCGGCGCCAGAGCAGACCTCAGCCAGGCAAACTATACTCGGATTACTCGGTCGCCTGTACCACGACCACTGCGAGAACCTTCCGCAGAAGCAAAAGTCCGGCCTGACGCAAGCGAGCAGAAATTGGAATGTCACCATTTGGCATTTCTTCCTAGCCCTCGGCCCTGACATTTTGCGATCCCGCGAATCCTGCCTGGCCATTGTGCGCATGTCCAAGCGCAAAAATCTCGACTTCCACACGTGCATTGCCCAGATTCACGCCCAACGCAAAGAACGCTTGAAGAAGATTGCTAGATCGACGTCCCTCGACACCGCCGGCAAGGTCAAGCCTGCAGACATCATAGCCGCCGAAAGCTCTGACGGCGAGGAAGGAAAGACACCAAACGCTTCCGACACAGACATGGCGTCTTCCCCGATCTTGGGTGCAAAGGCAAGTCGTGCCCGCAAACACAATACTGACCGTCCTCTCGCTGACATGCAAGAGACAGACTCCGGAACGTTCCCTCGAGATTGGCGTGGAATCGACAGAAAGCATATTGAAAGCGACGGCGACAGAAGGCTGGAGGCTACTGAACCGCAAGAACAATGTCAAAGATGCAGGATTTCGCGCCAAGGAGGCCGGTGCGCTCAAAGAATTCGACCCCGCCAACCCGAAAGGATTCGAGGATGCCACGGAGGATGAGGATCTCGAAGGTGATACTCTCATAGATATGAGCTCCGAAAAGGGCCGCAGATCTTCGCGTGGCAGCAACTTGGTTATTCAGAGCACCCCAGAGCCCGAAGAACTAGCGACGAGAGTCGAGTCCATCAAAGACACGAGAGCTACCAGCTCGCGACCTACGAGAAAACGGCCCACGCCCATTTTCGACGTCTCTGTCGACGCCTCTGGGCCCCCTTCCGTGAAGAGAGCTCGATCAAACGATGAAGATGGGGTGACTTTGATCAACTCGACGACAGTCCCGTTAGAGCAGCTCGTTCTTGGCGCGCGGTCTCTCGAAGGTGATAGCTGGGCTAACGACACTGCTGTGAGCAACACGATCGGCAAGCTCAGAGCAAAAGACTGCTACGTCTTGGACAGTCTGTTTCTTGCAGGCACGAGGTTTCTCCGACGCACACCCACAGAACGATACTTTGTGGCACCCGTCAACATTCGCAATATGCACTGGGCTCTCTACTTCTGGGATACGGAGTTGGAAACCATTGAATACTATGACTCGATGAAGCACAGCAATTTGCATTGCAAAGACCGTCTTCTTTCCATCATCAACAGTGCGTTCAAGCCTGCCAGGATGCCTGAAATTCAGGTCTGCAAGGTGAGTTGTGTGCCCTCTTCAAATAACGCAACTAACTCTCTGCAGGCATTCCAGCAGAAGAATCGCAACGACTGCGGCCCACTCGCAATTTTGAACGCTTTTCAGAAGCGTTTAGGTGTTGAAGAATTCGTCAAAGGCGACGATTTCGACTCCAAGAGTGCGAGAACATACTTTCAGCGTCTGCTTCTGACTTCTCTTGACGCCGCGCCCCTAGGTTTTGCTGAGAAGGCCGGTGTTCTGACTTCGCAAGAGACATCGAGGGGTATTTTCGACGAAATGAAAGCGGTAAAGCTCCAAGGGCGTCTCCGAAGAGTTGTCCAAAAGGATTTTCTCCTCCAGGCTAACCTCACTTGGAGAGCTTCGAATCTGGTCAAAGTCCACGAAGCACACCGTACTATCGTCCACCAGGCGTACGAGCAGTCTCTCCAGGCGAGAGATGTACGCGACCACGAGCTGAGAAGGCTGCAAAGCCTCAAATATTATGTTTCCAGTCTGCCCACCGACATCTTGGAACAAACTTCCTCTGCCACTGTGTTTGGGCCATGTCTTGATATGATGGAGAAGATGGCGAGAGAGAACCTTGGCCGTATGCTACCCGCCGCTGAGAAGATGGCGATCCAGAGCGGGCCACTGTCATGGGCGCAGGACCGGCCAATCACGAGGTCAATCTTGATGCTTCGGCACCTGGGCCGACAGTACTCAAAGGCGGAAAAGGCTTTGTGCGATTTTCGTGGGGCGCTGGAGGGCCTGACCTAAAAGATTTGTGAGTCTATTGACGGAGGAGCAGGAAATAGTGGTATTATTAATGATGGATAAAGCCGTTGGGGTGTTTTGGACTTTTGTTGCTTTCAGTGAAGCTGCTGGCGAACACAATAATTATTTTTGCGTGCTTACAGAGTACCTGTATGTTCACAATACTTCCTAACCCGCCTTCTGAACAATTTTATGAAGCTTTCCAAGCTTGGGGCAGACAACTTTCCGTAACTCCGTGTCAGGGCCTCCCGACAGCAGCTGACATCTCCAACGCAACCGCGCAGAAGAATCCATCGAGAAGCCGACGGCCGACAAGCCCATGCGTGAAAAAACCCAAATGACACACACAGACGGACTGTTCACATTACTGAAGGAAGCCATGATTGATCATAGACGCACTAAAGTTGCAAAACTCCGTCAAAAAGAGAATGGGAGGTTTCTGGCTGCCCATCGATACCTCGAACTCGCAACTCGAGCTCTCAAGAGTCAACCGAGTTCACGGTCCAGCCTTTTGAATTCGGCCATAGCCCGTAGCGCTCCGCTTCGCATGACTTTTGAGGCCCACCACCCCTCATTAGGATCGCTTAAGTTCGTGGGGATGAGCATCTGGAAATGGTTGATATCTTCCATGAAGAGAAATGTTTCAGGCGGTCTCGAGAGATGATGGTTGTGGGAGTATCCCAGGCAGAGTGAAAGACGCCGATTTCGATGGCAGATTGACTGAGAGAATGAAGACATAGGTATGCGAAGGCAAAGCATCAGTACAGACAGCTCGTCATAATGACCGCAAATTTTGTTTGCACCGGTGGAGAATTGGCTTTCTGGTTCACATGGGAGTGAGGCTATTCGGAATTTCAGCCTGGTCGGTTCCGGTGAAGAGGATTCGGACACTCGTTGATGAAGCACGACAGCGCCTCTGATCCCCTCTTCCATATGCTTGCCACAGCCCTTAACTCATGAACATTGGCAAGTCTCGCAGTCAGACTTGAAGCAACTGCCGAGCTGACACTGTTTTGATCATCGTGGAGGAGTACAGCTGTGGTTCATCAGAGGCAATGAGGAAACTGAGGACGATCTACCCAGGCATCGTTGGCCATGCCGTGAACAGTGATGGTGGTGATCGGTCAAAGGGGGTATCGAGGGGGTGTGCAGCATCGGCATGGAGGCGACGACGACGAACCGAGCTGTACAGCAGACGGCGTTGGAACAGGCGAGAAGCCGTGAGACAGAATGGAGTGTGCAGTACACCGGAAGAGGGAGCTCGGTCAACCCGACAGCTCGTTTCTACAAACACCAACTCGGGGAAGCATCCTAGCCTTCCGGCTCAGGGCAACGTGGTCGCTGCGGATGCTTACTAGGGTCAGCCGATTGGAGGCAGCGGACCAACACACAATCAAGACATTCATGGGACAGTCTCACCCCTTGCAGGTACTTGCAGGTACTTGCAGTGAGAAATCCCTGTCTCAATTTCATTGCTGACCGACATCTGGCCGGCGCGCACGATTGGATTCCCCTTTTGGGCGCTGTATCAGGCTGCGTTGTGGCTTAAACTTGGGGGTGGAGACTTAGTTTCTGTTTGGATGACGACCGCTCTTCTGCCTGCTTCCCCTCTTCTGCAGCCTTTGATGCTCAGCTGTCCCAACGTGTTCTCGGCATGTCTCAACGGAGAAGATTGTCATTCGCCGAGTGCTGGCCCCTGCATACCTGGCTGGAATGGGGGCCGGTGCATGCGATTTCTGACGCTTGTCATTTATTTATTTCGCGATTGATTGCTTTTCCTTGAGCCCGCCACCGCCGGTTCACGATCAACCTGCACGCGGCAGTTTCAAATCAGCGGCCGGCTTTAAGAGTCTCATACTTAGCGTTGTTCTCTCTTTCCTCTTGCCTGTAGGATGTCTCCAAGCATTGAGAACACATGGGAGACAAGGAGCCTGTCGCAAGGACTTTGAAACCGCAGAGATAGTGGTCATCTCTCACCTGCAAGGGTGCGGCTGGAAATCGTGTGTTCGGGTACATGGCCCAACGCATTCTTCTTTTGTCTGGGCGAAACATCTTGATGAAGCCGGTACACCATGGAAATTGAACGCAGCAGACACTCGTGATGGACGTTGGTACGTGGCCAGGGTTACAACTTCGGGCTCGGCCATCATGCCTCTATCTATAGTGAGCGTAATCTCGCCGACCCACCGAAACCCTTGTCTCACAATTCCGCGTAGACTCTTCCGTCCGTTGACTCTTGGCCGAAATGATGATCAGAAGGCAAGGGCGAAGAGGATGGCCTAATGCCGCCAAATCGCCCATTCGGCCGTGGAGGAAGTCCTCAGGATCGAGGTCCCCAAGGAGACAATGTATGGCGAAGAACCGACCGCCGGCGAGATTTGTTCATCTGGCTAGGTCTAGAGGAGGCTGAGCTGGAATTGATGAGATTGTGGAACCTCGTCCCTCAGAGGACAAACGCAACGTGGTGGCAGAAGTTTGACGCTATGCACAGGGACTGGAAAACCGATCCTGTCATCCAGGCACAAGCGTCTGTCTAACTTAAAGTTGAAAATGCGGCGTCAGTTTAAAGGTCTTCAATTACAATAACGGAGCTGTTTTGGGGGAAACAAATTTTAATGACGAAGCCTGTCGAAGTTAACAGCAGTCTCCTGTTGCGCGTGAAGCGGATGATGGCTGTCTTATCCATCTCAACTGTCACGTCGATTCTAGCGGGGTCTTGCTGCATAAGCGTGACACACACCGCAACCGACCAGAGCATAGCCGCAGATTCCAGCAAGCCCCACCAGTCAGCTGCAAGGGCGGTGAATGCTATCAGTATCGCCTAGCAGGGAATACTTAGTACTAAGGCCTCCTAGACATAGGAAAGCCCTCGCTGCGGGAATTCCCGCGCTTTCTATGGGATCTTGTGATGGATGTGGTGAAACTCTTGAGCTTTAAGCTGTCGAGAAGACAGCCTGTCACGTTAGAGGTTTTACTACGCCCCTTCAAATCGTAATGCTCGAAGCCTCGGCGCAATGCGCCTGCGGGCAAGGTGCAGAAACGGTAGAGCACTTCCTCTTCCACTGTACACAGTGGACGGCGCAGCGGACTCGGATGCTTCAGCAGACGGAATCGCGTAGAGGGAACCTGTCGTACTTCCTCGGAGGAAAGAGCGTGTCCGGTAGAGGAAAGACCACATGTGTACATTGCATGGAGGGTGAGGAAACCCGCGGGGTCATGAGCACGGCAGCAACCGGCAGCCGGGGATATAGTGTCTTGTTGAAGTTTAGGAAGTCCGTTACATTGCGAGGACAGCAGTCTTTTATATAACGTACGTATGGTATTGCAGTGCTATAGACTAAGAAATCAGAGCGGTATTACTGTCTGTCTGTTACCCAGTATATGGTCCGTTCATGGGATCTGCGTTTGACTATGCTTTGCTAGAGAAACCATTGCGTTGATTCTTTTGCCGCTCTCATGTACGCCCGCATTAGATCTCTGATCATCCGTTAGAGATGATCGGGGGCCTTAATCAACTCCTAAGCTCGAAAAGTTGGTTAATGCTAGTGTCGCCCAATATCAAAGTCTTCGAGATTTCTAGGAAAATAGCCAAGTGACAGCCGATGCCGCCGAACGGGCCGGTCATGGATTACCACTTCTCCGACTCAGGCATTGGAACAACAATAAACAGTGCTATAAAACCAACCCCGAGTGTATTCACTATGATTTTTGATGGAAGGTCTCCCAACATGAGAAGTTCCGAGCGAAGCAACTTTGATCAGACACAGATCTCGATATAGTCCTGGCTCCAAGCGAAGTCTGGAAGGTCAACTTCGAGCCACGACATGCGACCCTGTTGAAAGATGAGAATAAATTCCCAGGAGATGCGTGTGAAGAAACGGTTGTCGACATATCCATCGAGCGAAGCCGCCAGCGCGGTCTGAAGAAACGATTCGAGGGCCTACAGATCAAACGGAATATGCTGGATAATCATCTGGAAAGACTCAGTGGTTTATTTGCTAAGAGGAGGAAGATAGTCTTTGGCGTGGAGTTCGTGTAAACCACGGATGACTCCTCAACGGTCAAGGTCAAGAAAAAGGGGCAGAGTGCCACTGGAGCTCAAAAGCTTAAGAAAGCTGCCGACGTTGGTCTTTGGGCTTGGGTCCACAAGCATCATCGCCGTACGGGCAAGGACGAAGAGCGGGGGAGCAAAGATGGGCGTCAGGCAGCTGTAGGACAGGCTGGGCCCTTGACTGCATGTCACCAACCAATGACCAAAAAGGAGCTTCTGATTGGAGCATGCTAGCAAAAGTACGGCTCAGGCCGCATTTGGTGCGTTGGGCAGTAATCAACATGAAGCCTCTGAGTCTATGTAATCAGGCTGATTCTTCCGTCTCATCAATTCCGGGGTCCTACCTATTATTTCCAACCTTTTCAAGAGAAAATACTCGACATTTAGACTTCGGGCAGTTGATTTTGGAGTGGCGAACCTACTTAGGTCGCCACAGAGTCACAAGGCAAGCATCGTGCGTAACTTCGAGGCCATGGTCTAACGAGGAATAAATTACAGAGTACACTACGTCTGAGCGATTTCATACAACTCATAAATCAGATTAAAATGACCGTAATCGCCGCTTCAACAACCGCTGCCCTGATAGCAGGAGGGCCAGCAACCGTGGCTACCGCGCTCACCGTGCAATATGCTGCTTCCGGCAGCGCGGTTGCCGTGATGGCAGCCGGGCCGTCTACGGCCGTGGCTGCGGCCGGCGGCGCGGCAGCACTTATCAACGGAGCTGTTGCGGGTGCTGCTGGGGTTGCGACGAGCTTGGCGAGTGCCGCCGGGGCTACTAGCTTTGGAGCTGGTGTAATGGCCGGTGGCGCTACGTCTATGACGACCATCGCCGCGGGGTTTTTCTCATCGTTGGTTTCGGGAGCGACCACTGGGGCCGTGGCTGCTGTTCAAACAGCAGCTGCTTCCGCCGGCGGTTTGACGGGGGTCGCTTCCGCATCTTTCTTTGCCGGGCCGATTGGGTTGGCAGTTGTTGGCGATGATGGAGTTAGCTGGGATTGTTGGAAGCCTGTGGTGATGGAGACGTCTGAGGTCCCCTCCCGGGGCATGACACTTCGGGATTTGCATGGTCATCGCAACATGAAGCAGATCACCATCGACCACAATGGCTTCATCGCAGAGAACGTTCTGGGCAGACGATTTCGGCTATCGCCAGTGACTGTTTATGGTATCCTTACCTTTCACGCCACCATAATCTAGTATTTTCAAATTCAGCTAGCAGTAATCGCCCAATCAATTAGTTAAGTTAGTGAGTTGTTCGGTCTTGAAAATGATAGTCATTTCCCCATCCCTAGAGCTGTGTTTTTGACTTTACAATCAGTTTTCTGTCTCGGAAAATGCCGGCTGCATCACTTACTGCAGACGGACAGCACTTCCGACACAGACGCAAACGAAGCGGACAAGCTATTCTTCCCTGCACCCGACGGCTCGGCGCAAGACTTTGCCCTCCACCGAAGCCGCCTGTTCCAAGACGACGATGGCACCTTGCTTCTCGACGTCATCCCGCCCACCATCGCGCGCACCATCAGCCTCTTGCGCATCAGCTTTACCAGGTCAATCGCCGACAGCGATGTGTGCAGTTTCTTCCCAGAGTGTCATTCTCCCCAGATGGCAGACGTCCAGTTCCACCCCATGTGTGAAATGCTGTCGCTGCTGCCTCGCCCCGACGGGCGCCAGAGGGCACTCGCCTTTCTTCGAGCATGGTGCAAGGCCGATCACCTGGGCCGGGAGGAGTCGCGGGCTCCTCCCCACGAGAGCTACCCGAACGAGCCAGCCTTGATGTCTCTGATGCGTCATCTGGGAGCATTAGGCAGCTATATCGACAGTCTACTCGAGCTCCTCCCCGAAGACGACGAAAACGCCACCAAGGCCAAAGAGCACGCGGAACGACTGAACCCGTGGTGGTCGAGGGCCCGTTCCAAGACGCAGACGTGGGCAGGCAATCACCCCAAGGAGGGTAGCGACCGATTATCGCGGGAAATAGCCAGACTCCGTCTCGGGTCCATCCATGCGCAGGAGGTTGCGGCAGTTGGAGCCATCTCCGAAGCCCAGAGGACATGCGACCAGCTACAGGAGCACCTCGACGGTGCAAAGCAGCTGCTGGACGGCAGGGGATGGCTTCGCGTGTCGAACTTGGGGAGGGTGGTCACACACGGGCAGATACAGCCACTGGAGCAGTTTATGGGAGACGTCGTGGCCTTCCGGACGCAGCTCGACGTGCACAACCTCGGGCTTTCCAGAGTATTGCGGCGTATCAAGCTTGCTGAGATGAGGTATGTGAAGCAAGCTAAGGCGCGGCGGCCTGAAGCCACGGTGACAGTCTACGATGATGGGCGACCTCCAAAGCCTGGGCCGCCTACGTTTGGCTACAGGGACGCGGTCAAGGAAAGTCTGCTGGCAAAGGGGGACCGATTCGCGCTGCAGGCTCTTGACGAGGACGACGTGGACGAGGATCTGAACACGATAGAAGTGATTGAAGCTGAGGCGATGCGGAGATAGTGCTACAGAAAGCTGCCGGCATAGTACAGCAGAACAGTCAGAAAATCTCGGTCTCCGCGCCGCGGACGAACAACTCCCACGATCCCCCCACCCTCCAGATGTCGTCCCGCGGAAGCTCTCTCATGGCCTCCTCCAATGCCTCCCAACGCTGTTCCTGCCGCTCGTACGCCGCCATAGGATTGATTCCGTCACGTCCGGCATCGTCGCCTCCGAGGCCTAGCCGGCGCAGGCGGCCTTCCATCGCTGCGTCGATGAGCTGGTGGCGTAGTTGAAGGATGCGCGTTGCTGCGTCCACGCGCGCCCTGGCATCGCCACCAACATCACTACTGTTGCTGCCATCGCTATCGCTGTCGCCATCGCTGTCGCCGTTGCTGTTATTGCTATCGCTGTCGCCATCGCTGTCGCCGTCGCTGCTGTCGCCACTGTCGCTGTCACCATCGCCGACGCCCCGGCCATCACCGCCACCTACTGCGGCATGCTGTCGAGCAGCCGCATCTTCTCGAGCCGCCGCATCTTGACCGTTCTTGTTGGCGCTACGGCCACGGAAGCCGTGATTGCTGGACTCATTGGAGGTGTCAGAGCCACTCGATATGGTGATGATGCTTGGCGCACTGGGCGCGCTCGGCACGCTCCTTGCTTCTGCGGCGACCTGCGCATCCCGACTCGGGGACCGACGCGAACGCTTTCGGAATGCAGGCCATGTCTGGATCACGGCTACCTTCGCGACTACTTTCACACCGTGCTCGCTCTCAGCTGCATCTGCGTCGCCTCTGTCACCGTCACCCCCTTGCACCGCGCCGTCGCCTTGGTTACTGTCGAGGTCCATGGCGTCCTGAGCACCATCCTCTTCCTGACCCGCGTCCTCTTCCTGGCCCGCGTCTTCTCCCTGGCCCGCGTCTTCTTGCCGACCCTTGAGCACCAAACGAGCGTTAGCGAGGCACGCCTTCACACGCTCGGGTGACCATTCCCACACCTCGAGCTTGTGGTCTGCGTTGAATCGTTTGCGTAGGTGTTTGGCCTCTCTCATCTTCTCTAGCCGATACTTCATCGAGCTCTGCATCCGCTTCAGGACCCCTTGAACCCAGTGCTTTTCGTCGGGGTGCTCCTCCTTGTCGTACCCGAGGTCTAAGGCAAGGTGGATCATGTCGTCGTGGTAGAGTTCTAGCTGTGCCTCTCTTGTGATCTTGTGCAAGGCAAGGAATGCGGTCATGAGAGTATAGTCGTCCACGCTCCATGTTACTCTCGTTGAAGAATTGTTCGGGAGCTGCTCCAGGGAGCGACCCTTGAACTCGGCCTGAATGTCAATCAGCCACGGGAGCTCATCTTACAATCTCTGGAGGGTAAAAACTATGGATGGCCACCATACAAGACTTTTGTTACCAGGCATGACTGAGTCTCGTCGGGTCAGTCGATAAGGTGGAATGGCCTGATTGATGCGACAACCGCACCTTTCTCGACGAACGTTGACAGAAGAAGCTTGAACGCTGAGGAATCAACAACTTGTGCTTGTGCGGTGTTCACCGCCGAACATGTCGTTTGCAGTGCCGTGGCCTCAACCCCCGCCATCCCGGTCGTTTGCACCATGAGTCTCAGAGCACAGCTAGCCGACCCGACGACCCTATCTCCACATCTAGCAACAGCTTTCAATGCTTAAGATGAGAGCTTTCTCCCGGTCGGCCTTCCCCCCTCTGTCTTGTGGTTTTGGATCCCTCGCCGCCCTCGCCCTCGCCCTCGCCAGCACCTCCACAGGCATCACCACTCTCTCTGTTTCCGTTCTTCATCATGTCAGCGCCAACCCCTGCTCCCAATGCACCGCCGATTCCGAACTGGAAAGACATGTCGCGCGAAGAGCAGATCAGGATGACCGAGCTTTGCAACGACTTTCAGTCTCGCAGATCGATGAGCACCACGACTACCAACCTTAGCGACGCGGGGACCTTGAATTCAACCCCCAACGGCTTCAGCCAGGCCGCGATCGACCGCAAGTTCCAGGAGACGAAACCCGAGTACGCCAATTGGCTCCAAGATCAACCACAATACCAACAGCAACAATCGCAGCAACAACAGCCACAGCAGCAGCAACAGCTTCCTTTCCATTTCCCGCCGAGTTTGTCGCAACCGCAGCAGCAAATGTCGGCCTTTAGCCAGCCCCAGCCCCAGCCTCAACCTCAGATCCAGCCGCAGCCGCAGCAGCAACCGCAACCGCAGAGTCCGTTCTTGAATCAGTCGATCCCGTCGCAACCGTCGCAGCCGCAGCAGCCAATGCAGATCTCTTCCCAGTTGCAAAGCATCCTGTCGCCTCGGCTGCAGCAGCAGCTTTTCGCGACCCCATCTCAACAAGACCCCTTCCAGCCGGCGGTTTTGATCCAGCCCAACCAGCAGCCCCAGGCCCAGACCCAGGTCCCGACGACCCCTATAGTTCCCGGGCACTTCCCCTCGCCGGTCCAAGGCCGCGAGTCGCAGTCAGCAACGGTCCAGACCTCGCAACATCCTCCGGCGATGGCATTCTCAGCGCCAGCGCCAGCGGCACAAAACTGGCTTCAATTAAACACCCCCAGTAAGCCGCGTCTGATCCCTTCGGCGTGTACTTGGGCAACGAGAAGCTAATCACGTGTCCCACAGATATCGCCTCCTTGATGGCCAACTACAAGCCCGCCCCGACGCCGAACGCCGACCGAAGCCAGCTCCTGGCAGAGAACAACGCGATGATCGAGTCAGTCAGCATGGCGTGGAAGCAGTTGGCGCACCAGATGGTTCACATGGAGGCGACGTTTCGACGGCTCGTGATCGAGCGGCGCGATCTCATGCACAGGGCATATTGGCGGAGGAGGAGGAGGAGGAGGATGCGGCGATGCTTGCGTCGCCCAACGCAGGCCGGGGTGCGGGCAAGAAGAAGAACAGGACGTCCAAGAAGGACAAGAGACTCGCCTCGGGGTTTAGTAGGACCTAGAAGAGCGCAGGGGTGTGTTCGTGTTGTAGAATGTCTGTTTAGAGAAGTGAAGGGCGTGTATGCGGCTCTTGCTCGAACCGCCTGTCTATTCTTTCCTCTAGTAAACAAAAAGTACAAAAATCTCACAAAGTCTCATTCCTTTAGTAAACACAAACTGCAAAACTCTCAATATTACAACCAAAACTCCGTCGACTTGACAAGCAGAACCCGCAGCCGGGCCTCGATCTCGGCTGGAGATGCCCGCTCCGCAATGAGCGTCATGAGATCATCCACCTCGTGGCGCTCCTGCTCTAGCCGCTGCAGGCGCTCGCGCGCGCGCAGCTCGCCTGCCTTCCACTTCTGGGTGACCAGTCTCGCGTTGCGGCAACCGAGGTTGCTGACACGCGAAAGGTCCTCCAGCGACTCGCGATGCTGTGAAGCCGCGCTGCCGCCTTCACCCGCATGGTCCTCTGCCGCCGCTGCTGCTTCAGCGGCGGCATCGGGGCGGTTACCCAGCGGCCCCGCGGCATCGGGCGACCAGGGCGCAAGAAGCGCTTCAGTCGCCAAGGTCCACACGCCGCAGGAGGCCGCCTTGACGTCTCCCAGGTCTCTGAGCACGTCCCAGCCGTTTGTCGTCTCGATGAGATCTCGCTGCTGATCCGCCGCCTTGACGAGCATGCTGTTGAACATCGTGACGCGGCGCTGGGCGGTCGCTAACGGTTTGGGTAAAGGATGCTCCCGACGCAGGAGGTGCCTGAAGCCGCGCTGAATTGCCTGTTGGGAGAAAACGGGCAGTATGCGTTAGCGCTTCGCGTCACCGGGCAAGGAACAAGGTGCAGGGGGGAGTCAAAAGGGTGACCAAGGACTTACTTCGATCGCATACTCCACCCTGCTGCCGCTGTCAGTCTCTGAGATCTCGGCGGCCGGGAACGTGTCGATCTCGCGGATCAGCCGCTTGGCGACCCTGTGGATGTCAGTCAACCACTGCGCCTCCTTGGCCCTCAAGGAGTTGCTGTGCCCGCGAACGTCTCTCGCCTTCTCCACAGCCGTCTTGGGGATTGACAGCGACAACGGCGCAGAGGATGCGTTCAACAACACGTCGGCAATGCGTTTGGCCAAGCCATCCCCAGCGATGCCTTCGAGAGAGACCCTGAGCCACGATATCTGGATCACGACGTATTCCATGGCGATGGCCCCAATGATGCCTTCGCGAGCCGGCTTCACCTGAACGTCGGTAGTGGAGCCGACAGGGATCGCGGTTGTTGGTGTGGCATTTGGTGTTGCCGGGCTGCTGCTTGTAGACAGCCACGATGGGAGGGACGGGAGAGACGGGAGAGACGGGATCCACGAACCCGCTTGGGCGAGAGAGGCGCCGCCGTGATTGAACTTGAAGCGGTGGGCTACTTACTGATGATAGCCAAGTCGCGGAGCAGCGCGTCGGAATTGGGTACTCGCATCCAAGCAGCAAGGTCTATATCCACATACTCCCGACCGATTACTGGGGTGATTTCAAAGAACTTGACTTCGTCAAGGGCGCCGTTCAGCTTGAGAGGCTCGACATGATCCGCGAGCAGTGTTGGCGTACCAAGTTCTGCGTCGACAACCTTTCTTAGCTGTTCGGCAGTGGGCGTTGGTAGTTTCCACAGCTGATGGTGACATGTTAACAATTGAGGGATGGCAGAGTATGTGTTCCTTTGAGCCTGAAGTTTTAGTTTGAATATGGATCTTTCTCTCAGGCATCAAGAGTCATTCTACACGACTTGAATTGCATCTTCTTTCCGGGAAACTACCCGCGTGTTGCTACGTTGCTGCGTCGGTGGCGAGCGAGTGGACACCGAGACAATTGTCTGTGGAAACTCGGGGGATCCATCCTGCGCCTCGACGGCCACCGGTGAATAAAATGAAAAGACCGTCCGCCCTTAGCGTTGCAGAGAAGCCAAGTATGGCTTCCGGCCGGCGGATAAGATGAGAAAACGTCTAAGGTGAACCGGCTCAGAAGAAAAGACTGGTGGGCGCAACTTGATGTCGCGACCTGGAAACCACTAGCGACTCCCGAACACCGAGTTCAGATAGCGTTTTCAGTTGTTTAACATTGGTTCAGCATAGATGTGACACAGTATTGAAGTTGACAATGTGGCAGGCAACGTGGATATCAGTCCGGCGTTCGCCTCGCTTGACGGAGGAGTGTTGTTCAAGATCAGTGGGACAAATACGGTGCGCAATGTCGAATGATTCAGTAAAGATGGTCAGCGAGATTTCGGACCAGCACAAGGCCCAGAATGATGGCTCTTTGAACGTTAATATTGAAGCTGCTTCGAAGGATCAACCTTGTTCAACCACCCAGCCTGTCCACATCGACTGGACTCACGAGGAAGAACGCTGGGCAAAGCGAAAGTGAGAAAAGCAGATCAGCTGTCACGATCAACTCTTCGAAGTAAGGCTAACATATTTCAAGATTCGATTGGATGGTATTTCCACTGGCGGTTCTCGGCTTTTTCTCGCAGCAAGTTGGCCGCGGAAACATGTAACTTGGCTGTTCCAGCAAGCGCATCTGCTGGATTCACCTGACATATTTCTCTCCTGCAGTGGATCTGCCTAGAATTCAACCATGCTGAAGACCTGAACATCAATCAATGTATCGTTGTAAAGGGTCAGACTTGCCTGTACATCATGATTGTCGCTTTTGAGTTACCCTCGAACCTCCTCCTGCAACATATCAATGTAAAGCTGTGGATGTCCTGCCAAATGAACCTTTGGGGTCTTGCTACTCTACGCGCGGAGACCAAAGGCACAGCCAGCTTCTACTGTCGCCGAATCCTTTTGGGCATTACTGAGGCAGGCTTTATCTCCGGTTCTGTCTGTTGCATTTCAACTTTCTATACGAAAATGGACTTGGTTGTCAGAGCTTCATTCTTCTGGATTGGAAGTTATCTGGGTAAGGCCTGTATCATCACTTTAGTCTGATGGCCGCGCTCGACCTCAGATACGCGAACCTTGATCCCTATTTTAGGCTGCTCACCCCACGAGAGGAGCACATCCTCACTAATAGGATCATCATGGACAACCCAGCCAAGAAGAATGCATCTAAAATCCGTGTTGCCTTCAAATATGTTGTTCGCATCATTGCTAATTGGAGATTATTGACCTTCTTGGTCTTCATCACCACTTATGTTGCTGCTATCACCTGCATGGACACCTACAACTCGCAAATCACGAAATAAATTGACTTCGACACCATCAGAGCAAACCTGCTGGTGAATGTTGCCACATGCACTGCCATTCCTCTTGTCTTCTTGGGCGGGAAGATGGCCGCTGCCAATGGCAGATATGGCATGTGCATGCCGAACTTCCAGATCCGAGATCTTGTCTTGAGCGATGTCTCCCGCCATCTCCAAGCCGAGGGCGATGCCGGTGTTTGCCCCAGATGTGGAGTCTCCCAGATCATCATCGCAGTGGCATGCCCTCGTTACATTCAGGGCCTCGTCTGGGTCGCCTCAAACACTCGGACACCTTTTCAACCATCGGTGTACTCTGTTCTTTATGTCATGTTTACCAACGAATCCAACTCTTTTGCTGCACAAACTTTCTGAGCTTAAGATACGCCCAAATATCTTAAGGTCTTCACTGAGGTGTTGAACCTGCATTCCTTCGCCGTTGTGTGGGTAGCGTTTGGCATCTTCGTCTTGTATGCAAAAAAGAATGCGTTGGGCGTGGCAGGCTTGCTAAAAGACACAGCCAAGGTGAAAATTGGAGATGACGACAACGCAGCGGGTATGATGGTCTCAAAGGACTTCCGATACGTCTACAAGAACCGCTTCCCCTGTATCGCTTATTCACACCAGCATCCACCGGTGTACTGATGGAATAATACAGTAGTGTTTCTCCCTTTGTCACTATTAATTAAGTATTGCCACTTGATCCGCATGCCGACGAGAGTAATGTGTTGCGTTACAATCTTGTGTTTCATATAATTAGTTGTTTGCAGTAAGGAACGTTGAAGATGAGATAATGCCCGGCTTACATTCAGCCTCTCGTTATCAAATCAACATAAGTATCAAATATATGTGTAGGGGTGTCATTTGCGCGTGAAGAGCATCAGCGCTGAACCGCAAAGCCTCGAAAATTTCTCTTGGAAAGTATATTAAGATCTTTTGCTCTATCTGCAGTCTAGAAGTTCTCTATGATTGGATGGCAGCCTTGGAGCTCCGCAGGTTTTAATAATACTCTAGTGACTGTCAGTTGCATTATGCTTGTACTAACACTCTGGGAAAAAGCAAGTCTATCACCCAGCTACGACTTCCCTCGTGCTTGCTGATTGGAAGAATTTCGACTTTGAAGCTGGATTACTTGACCTGCTTCCATGATATTGCGCTCCTCTGCCTGTGCCGAGACCTGCTCTCCTGACTCCATAGAGCATGTCTCTCAACAATCAACGATGATCATGCCTTCGATGAAGCAATACTGGTCCTACGGATGGGAAAATCCCGGAAGGGAATCCGCCGTACTATCCGTAATAGCACATAAGAGACACGGATCTATCTCCTGCATCTCCGAGTCATATGAACCGATGGCGGCGGACACAAATCGGTGCTTTGACCGTCCAAACTCTGACGCGAGCCACTCTGAGGGGAACAAAGCTGTGGTAGACGGAGTCGTGCAGAATATCATGTCAGCCTGCTGAAGAGTGTCCTGTAGCTGAGCTTGGTGATCTCGCGCTGATAAAGTACTGGAAGCCAGGGCAGAGAAGGTGACATTGCGCCCATTCGCTGAGCCAGCTCCATTGTCCAAGTGATGGAGACGTTCGATCAGGTCCCAAGCGCCTTGTTCAAAGCGGTTGATAATGGTGATAGCCTGAGATCGCTGTACCACGGAGCACAGGCGCAAGTTGTAGATAAGACAGCGATTATTTGCCAGCGCCAAAGACCACGATATGATCTGTCCGCTTCCGGTGTTGAAGTAACAACGTCGAACTAAGGGCAGTCCGCAACGCTGTGACCTCTGCCGTATTCACGAGTCCAACAGCTACGTCCACCCTAACACAGACCGGGAGGACACCACAGAGACCTTTGGTCTGATCTACAGCCGCGATCGTCGTCTCAGAGGCCCAGTCGCCATCTTAACGGATGACCCATGCCATAGAGTTGCAGGCATGAACAGTGTGGTGAGGCCTTCGGGCCTTGCGACTTGCCGAGAACACTGATATTGCTTTTTGTTGGCGGCAAAATACGACAGCATTGCCTCACCTAGTGCCGCCAGCAAAGCCTTCGCCTATTTGGGTCCTGGTGTAGCCAATATCGCCTTTAAGCTATGATCAGAGAGAATCATGAGGGCCGTAATAATGGGCCGCTGCGTTCTGGCCCGGGCTTTCCAACTGAGGTGTTCAATCGATTGCTGCCTCCTTGTCCCGCGAGGCTCTGCTACTTAGTACGCTGCACAATAAGAGGTGCACCCGGCCAGCACTGGAACTGAAACTGTAGCCCAAACCCGAGTTTGTTGACAGCTGTCCCAAGCTTTCGCCAAGGCAGACGTCGATTTCATCAACGTAAGATTCTTGTCTTCGAGGCATTGGTGAAAGATAACGATAAATTCTCTCAATGTCAAGCCCGGCGGATTCTCAGCCGGTGAAATGAAGTCCGGCGATTTCGTAACAGCGCAGAACTTTGGGTCCCATTGGGATAAGCTCCTGAAGGGATTCAAAATCCCCCGCGGGTCAAAACAGGGAAGAGGGCGATGTACCGGTAAGCGGCGCGCCAAGGACTTGCGTACGGATTCTAGAGCGATCCGGAGCCGTTGTGCGGGCGTGGCGGCCAAACACATGCCATCTTTCGGGCAGAAAAGGCGGGAGTGAATAGAAAGGCGTCGCGAGCTTCGTGCGCAGCAATATGACTGTATCAGAACAAATCAACGAACAGAGCCGAACGGGAAGGGAAAAGGAAGAACAGAAGAACACAGACGAGAAGAAGCACTCAGAAGGCATGCAGAGCACGGTAACCTTGGGACGATCCTCCCCGCAGGACGGCGGCGGGGTGCCTCCCAGCAGTGCTGACTTGGACCTTTCAAAAGGTGACCTCTGCAGCCTTTAGCGGGGGCCGGAGTCGAAAATGACTTGGCAAGAATACGGGGGAGTCTGGCTTATTGGGATAAACAAGTATCTGGATGATCAAGGGGTCTCCATGAAAAGAATT